TATCTATCTATCTATCTATCTATCTATCTATCTATCTATCTATCTATCTATCTATCTATCTATCTATCTATCTATCTATCTATCTATCTATCTATTTGTATATATGTATATATGTATATGTGTGTGTGTGTACACTGAGGTAATCATGGTAGTGGACACAGCAGGGTAATGACAGAGATAGGACACTGACACAAACGCAGCACGACACAAACTTGACATAGGGGAAAACTACAAGCAGAAGTAGCAGAAAATGGATTTAAAAAATAGCCAAAACTGAAGACTATAAATCCTAAAGACTGAGCTCAGAATATAATCATAAAGAAACTAACCAAGAAACGCCTACTACATACATTCAGAACTGAGGTACAAAACTCAGGAGTCATGACAAATGGAACCCATTCGATTCTGTTTGCTTTCATTATTTTCTATCCGTCTTCTCAAAATTTTGGCTGATTCTTAAAAGGCACCAAGACAGAGCTGGCCAGCACCAGTATCAGCATAAGGACCAGCTCCTGTTGATGGAAATGAGGTATTCAGGGCTCTTTAACATGTTTCAGGATACAGGGATGTAAAAGGTTGTAAATATATTCAATAAAACCAAAATCTTGTCAAAAACCTAATCAGTTTTGAGCCTGCACCTTTGGTAACGTGTGGCACTCAATGTTGTTTCAAAAACTTGAGTTGGAGTACTTGTTGGGCAGGTCCTGGTTATATAACCAATCATAATGCAATGATTAAAGCAGCTTCTTGATTCTGTGCAGGGATGCAAAAGCACTTTAGGGGTGTGTCAGTATGCTGTGACATCAGTAGATATAGTCAGAGGTGCAACCAGAGAGTGCAGTAAAACAATGTTTTCAACCTAGTATTAAGTCACTCTTAAATTAGGAGTTGCCAGATAAAAATGCACATAATGACCTTTCTTATAAATGTCAAGTTACATTTGTGATTGCCATAGGGCTGTGCTATTTCTCAGCATGGAAAATGTTTCAGAATGCATGCAACATCTAATTAAGTGTAAATACGTTCATATATTATAGCGGAACAAGAAACAAACAACATACAGTGTGGCGTAATGAGTGAAGTTTGTAAGGATGAGAGTGTAGTTAACCATCAATAGGGTGTCCGCGCTGCGCCCTGCAAATAAAGCTTTTCATTCTGCTCTGCCACAGACCATGAAATAGTCACTCAGCTCTGAAATAGAGAGAATCACTCACATGGAGAAACAGCGAGAAGTTTGGTTAGTTCTGCAGTGCAGGTAGGAGATAGATACTTGGAGGCACAGACTTATTGCAGCCCTCCATAGATATCTGCCAAAGTCTACACAAACATTAGAGGGAAACGGGGAAACAAAATTACAGAAATCTGCTAAGTTTGACAAATGGTTGGCTCCGCTTTGCCACTAGCTATTAGCCGGCAATGATTAATAAGTGAGAAAATAATTGCACTTCATTGAGATTGATGACGCCCCATTTAACCTCCCCACTCATCCTGGCTGCGCCACAGAGCACCGAGATGAGCCTCGGACACACTGCTGCTCTGCCGGCCTCATTGGCATCAAACACACACACACATAGGTACACACACAGGGACTGTAATGATCCTATGGGGCATTTTTAGGAGCCTTGTGGCGCTCTGATCATAAGTTCATTGTTAATAAGTGAAAAACAATGATCTCAGCTCTAGGAGGCCTCTGGGAAGCGCTCACTTCACCAATATAGAAGCATTTAAGTCAAACACCGTGGGGAATTAATGACAGCGGAGTCACCATTAACTGCTATGCTAACGAGTTTGTGAGCTTTGGCCCTCTTGTTAGATGCGTCTTTCTTGTGCGTGCTTTGCTTGTCTGCTTGTTGGAGCGCTTGCACTGGAGAATCTTGTCGATCTGAAATGTACACGGTGAATTCGTTTGAATGTGATTTTCGGCGGTTTTAAATGCAAACAAAACAGCGGCGATCAGACAAGGCACTAGGAGTGCCGCTACGCCTTATCCTCTCAGTCTGTAAAGAGACATGGCCAAGGTTATTAAAGAAGGATGTAGCAGAGCAAGATGGCCGCTGTTGTGACCAGAGGCGGTGTGGAGAGATAAATGGTTGACCCAGCCTGGTGTCAGGTTAGGATTGATGCCACTATCAGCCCCACTGCTTTCCCAATGATTTTCTCAAATCTCTGATAGAGTGTGTTATCTAGTTACTGGCATGAGGGCAACGGCCTGCAGGCACAGAGAAGGTCAATCTATGAGGACAATCTTTGTTGGACTAAATGAGAAAAAAGACCTCACAAAAAAGAATAAAAAGCAGCTGCTAGGTCTCTGGGATAAGATAAGCCAAATTACTTCTCTTTAGTAGAATTGGCCTGAGGCAAAACATCAAAAAAAAAAAAAGAAGAAGAAGAAGAAAAAAATTAAGTGAGGCTGGTGTGCTCTCTAACTTTAGTGTTGTAGATTTCACCTGGAACCTCGGCTTCCTTGAACTAATTTTGATTCAGCGGCAGCAGCACCTTGAGGAATGGCCCGGCCAGTTTGTATTTGTCTGCTGGTTAATCTGCATTCAACAAATAAATCTCCTAAACAGGAATATCCAGAATATATTACACCAGTCAGCAGTATAAACTGGCTTGCAGACCATCAAACTTCTCCATAATCTCACTCAATCAACCCGCTTGCTCTTTGTTTTTTTCAGATCTGGGCAAAAGGGTTTGACTAATAGGTTGTAATTTACCGGCTGAGGTCTTGATCAATAATTCTATGTCAATAATGATGGAGAGGTCTGGGCGAGGGGAAATGATTCCACTCATTGTCTGAGAAAAATGAAGGCCTGGACATCACCTCAGGCTTCGGGCAGATGTCCACAGGTTCTCTGCAGCTATGACGGTTGAGTCAATGAGTGAAAAGACAAATAACACACATGGACACACACATACACACACAAGTTTTCATCGTAGTGTGCAAGATCAAAACTTTAAAACACACAATTACACACACATATTTCTCTAATGGATATACTTTTCACTACGATTTTTTTAGTCAACGGGCCTTTCTCGTGACAATCTCATTTTGAAAGCAGTCTTCTGACAGAAATATTGACCGAACGACTATAAATGGAGGGAACAATCTGCTTCTTTATTATCCAGAAAATTGCTAAAATGGTTTCAAGGAAATAAATAGCCCATCTTGATTCCTTTCTGATGTGGTTTGAAAATATAGTTTGTCTTATCTGCATGTATACTGGACATAAAACAAAAATAACCAAGCCAGATGTATCTGTGTATCATAGATTTGTAATTACTACTAAAAACAGACATTAACTGTAATTATTTTCAAGGTTTTCTAGTGGATTATGTGTTAAAGTCCCAATTTTCCATAGAGCATTACAGGGCTGTTAAATGGTGAGAGACATAGTGCACTTTTTGGATAGGTTACCAATCTGCTCCAAACTGTAAGGTTGCTATAGTGAAGCATGAGGGTGGTAGCATCATGTTACGGGATGCTTTTTAGCATGTATGGGCATGACGCTAACACAAACAGCTACATTTCTGTTTGTTCCTGAGCCAAAGACCAGACTTAAACACCAATATGAAGATACCCGAAGACATTTCACGAACTGGGAAATCTGCCTGAAAGAATATGATAAACCAGGCGTGTAAATGTTTTCGAAACATAACATAACATTACTCTCATAACTCTCTTTCTGTTAACTTTCTCCCCAACTTCCCTTTGTTTCTTTTTCTCTTTTCTGTGCCCTGGTCTTGTCCGTTGTGGTTGTAATAATGCAAAATAAAAAATCCTAATAATGCTTTTATTTGATTTGTAATTATATTTTCTTTTATGTGTTCATTTGTCATTTGTTAGTTTTGGACAAAGTAAGCTGAAGTATTTTTTTGCATTGGGTTGTTGTCTTAAAACCTTTGGGGGCATCATCATTAAATAACCTGGATCTTGCATCTTACATTTGTTCTGTGGTTCCATGTTTTACAGTCTTAGTAATAAAATATTAGTGAGACTTCCTGTGGCGAGGAATCCAGTATGTAGTTACAATTTTGATAAAAATCTTCTCAAGCTGCTGCAAGTCAGGGTCTAATGCCTTCATCTGTCAGTCAAAGATAAACGTTCTTGACTCCAACCGACATGAGAGTTCAGGGAGTTTCTGAAAGCAGTCTAAATATTTTGAGACAAGCTTTTACTGCAACACAAGACACAACAGACCCAGAGCTCAGACTGTGGGCAGCATAGTAAGAGGAAACAAATGATCTCATATTCATTCAATTAAAACAGTGGCGCTCAATGTGATCGAGGCAGCTTTCACTTAACCTTTATTTCAAAACAATTCATTTCTTGTGATACGAATGTTACAAGTTAAATGTAAGGTGCTCACTGAAAACTAAGCTAAAAAATAAGATGATGATACGTGGGTAAATAACACAGCAGGAATAGCCCCCCCAAAATCTAAAGCAATAAAATTAACTCTCAAGACAGTGCACAACTGGAGGGGAAAGCAATTCATGGCTCTTCATTGGCTTGGTATTGCAGGAAGGTGACTCTTCATGAATTTTGCCTCCTAGCAAATACTAAAAAATGCCAAAAAGCTGCAGTATGGTGGGACACTTACAACATGCTAATCGCAGGAAAAGACCTAGATGACAAATAAATATTACTTAAGAAAAATAGCCTGGGAAGAAAGATAAACCTGAAAATGTACATGTGATATGGAAATAATAAAATGTAGACTCACACAACTTAAAAAAGGTTTATTTGAGGTTACTGTGAAAAGAGCTCTTTTAGAAGTACTTTATAAAACTCTCCCAAAATACCACAGCCTATATATCTCACTACCCTACAAGTAGAAGTAGGAAGAAGTAGGAATCATCCTTTTCCTTTCATAGTGGAAAGCTGTTTGTAGTTTCAGCAGTTAACTACAAAAGAGTAACTAAACTAATTAAATTCCTACACAAATACCAATGGAACTGAAGCTCTTGCATGATAATGCTAAATGTAGTTAAACTACTAGTTTAATTTCACGTAGCTGACTACCTGACTACCCTTCAAACAGTGTAAGAAAGTTAGAAGGTCTAGAAAGACTTTAATTTTGAAGACACAGTACACAACTGCTAAATGCATATCCATAAGGTCTTTGTAAGCCACTTTAACAAAATATTTGGAGTATTTCTGACACTTTCCACTGCAGTTTCTAACAGAAGCATGCACTCAATCCATCCAAAGTAAACAGGATTGTATGCTATTTCTTCTCAAATTTTATTTAAATTTCCCAGATCTCAATGGAAAATATCACGTTTTACTTGGAATATTTTCTAAGTCATTCAGGATTATTTTCAATTTGTTAACTGCCAGAAGAAAAAGATTAAGCAGCGGGAGAAAAAAACCCACTTTGGTGATCAGATGTCACCCTCTAACCCATAAGGGGACCTTCATCCTGGCTGGCTGCCCCTCCACTGAGGTGGGCAGAGGTGTGTTTTTTGAGCAGACCTGAACAGTTTGAACGTTGCGCTCTAAGTGGATTGGGTTCCTGTCAGACCTGAGCGGTTGGACATTGATAAATTTCCTCCTGTGTGGGATCGATAACTCTCACCTTTCAGCCCAGGGCTGCACCAGAGTGGGACGTCATAATTACTCTGTCAAACTGAATGCCTGCCTGTGTTAAGAATGACGACTATACGTGCACGTGTGTGTGTGTACATGATAGAGCCAATCAAAACGTGTGCAAAGCAGTGCAAAGTTGTTGTTTTTTTTTCTCATGTGAATGTGCTTTTGTGTGTTTGGGAATATATGCACAGAGATTTATGGATTATGTCAGTACATGTGGGCTTTAAAAGGCTGTGTGTCTGTGCACGCATTTGTGTGTGTAGGCCCAGGTGACACTTTGCGAGCTGAGCTGTACTGGTGACTGGCAGTGATTGACAGCTGAGCAGCCCGCCTCCTCCCTTTACCTTCCCACGGCTCTTTTTAATGCCTGTCACATTGGCCAATCAGCAAAGTGATCTGACAGCCTTCCTGACACACACACACACACACACACACACACACACACACACACACACACACAAGCACACATTGACAAATTTTAAACCTGAAGCCTGCTATCAACACCAAACATCCTCTGGATCTTTAAGAGAAAGAAAAAATCTAAATCTGAACGACTGTGCCGATCATTGTAATGTTTTAGTAACAGTACAGCACAACAGTGTATTGAAAGTACTGAAACCGACCACAGCAGCCATATTTACTTACAGAATAGCAGCAACGATTAGCTCCAAAAACAACACGGTAGGGATGATGGGCCCCTCACGTCGATCACGTTAACTGAATTAACATACGGGACTCTCCTTTCAGCTGGCTCCTTCGATCTGTAATCTGTCCACATGCAATGATAATTTATTTATTTTGTTGCAGGGAACAAAAAGCAATTGCAACCATCTGTTCCATCAGACACTGAAGCATCGCCGCACGTGGCCTTCCTTCAGGTTAGTGCAGATTCATTTTAGTCTGTATTTGTGCACATGTGTGCCTTTTGAGGGTCTGCATTTGCATTTAGATATGCATGTCAGACTGTCAGCATGACTCAATATTACATGTCTACCTATGACTGCAGTTTGTTTGCATATATGCATTGAATGTAAACAAATATGCATTACTGTTCAGCGTGCTTTTAGGAGATTTTTCTTCTTTTCGTGTGTGCACGCGCACGCGTGTCACAGCCGCCATGTGGTGCTGCTGCTGTCGGTAAAAGAGGCAGCCTGTGGAATTAAAAGTGAATCAAGTGAGGATGAGCGAGGCTGCCTGCTCCTCATAACAGCACCACCATAATAATAATAAAAATAATAATAATGATAATAATAATCATGGCAATAATAACCTCCGTGCTCATTTAGACATCAATACTAATCACTCTCATTTGGAGGACAATAATAATAATCAGGCTCATTTAGAGTGCCGTTTCTCCACAGAGGCTTTCACTGCCTTTGGGGTTGGTTGGTGCTTAACCTAATGATAATAGTCATGATTCATGGCTCAACTCTCCCTCCCTGCATGTTGCTTTCACTCCATGTGAATACAGGAAGTGTGTGTATGCGTGTGTGGGTGAGAGGAAAAGATGAGGGTGTAAATGTGTTTGTCTGCTTTGACATGTTGACACATACCAGCTTGTATGTATTTTTGGACTTTTTTTTACAGTGATTCACTAACCTCTACATTTAATGGCCCAATCCAGTGCATAGTCATTTTTGTCCATCATTATGACGTCGATCTGAGGAGGTGGCAGGAGTGCTTATAACGAATCCGACAGCGGTGAAAAGCAACCATAAAGGCCAAACTATAATTTAGAAAATTATACCTCAAACTGCCCACTGTAAACATCCATCAGTTTGACACAGGGTTTTGTAATGCAGAGAGGTGCTATTATCAACATCTTTGGTTTGCTTTTACCCTAAATAGAGTATTTTGAATATAATGGCTACTTTAAATTCTGTCGCATCACAATTGAGGTCTCATGTCTGTTGTAACTTCCTGTTTGGCTCGTTTCTGTCAAAGCACTTTACTCTGTCGTAAGCCACATTTGTGGAACCACAATTGTATATGAAGATGATTTAAAAGATTCAGACTATCCAAACAATTTGACAGTTCTAAAATCTGTTTATAAACTTTCATACAGAGAATAAGACTGAACGTTACATTTCTCTGTAAGTAAATCTCAAGCTAGTGTAACAGACAGTCAGTCTGGCTGGCTCTCACCAAAGATACATGCAGGAAGAGGTTTGAATTTTGAGGCAGTTTACATCATGAAACTCCACTGGACTCTGGTGCTGTATTAAAACTGTATTCCTTTATATACCCGGCAGGGGATGACTTCTCTGGTTTCAAATATAGAAGTCCGACTGCTTGGAAGTATATGGGAAAACTAATTTAATATATCCTGTTTTATTTTCCCTATTTTTGTCTGTGTTAAAATAGTGGGTCCTCATATTAATGATGGCCAAAGTTAGACTTCTTGGTTTTGCATAATTTCAAAGAGAGCACATTTTTAATATGGTCACACAGCTCTGGATGTGAGCACAAATATCCCGCCCACTTTCTGTTCCAACCTTTTGTTTAGAAGGGGCAGCCAATCAGAGTCACGCTGGCTTTAAGGGTGAGGAGCAGGCAGCTTGTTTTACACAAAAGATGAATTGAGGGGCTTCATCAAAGCAAGGAACTTAAAATGTGAATAATGCAAAACTACTCCAGTAGAGTCTAACAAGAAACTCGTGTAAATGAGCACAAGAGATTCTCTTTAATACAACATTATGCTCATTTTTTAAATGATGGTCCACCTGAAAGGCAGAAAGGAGGATTTGCTTTAGGGCAAGCCAGTCTACCTTGTGATTGGGAAGTGTTTATGTATGAGGATACGATGGCCCTTGATTTCTTAGTGCAGGCCACCCTTCCCCTGATATCTGCAGATTCAAAGCATCAGTTACACGACAGCCAAACTGCTGAGCTCAAGGCGTCAAGACAGAACTAACTAATGTGTAATGGCATGGTGGCCACGTCCATCTTTAATATACAGTTTATGAATAAAATATAGGCAATTAAAATGTGTCATTTGCACCTTTAGTGCTTGAGTTATTTGGATCACATCTATATGTTTCCCTCCGATCATCTGCACAAATCGTTATTTGCTCTCTCTCGCACTCAGACTCCAATCGACACAGATGCAGGTTAATGCCACAGGAATTTAGGTCTTGCAATAACACTCTGTCAGCCCTTTACAAAACCATGAGGCCATCTTCAAGTCATGAAATATTCTCTTCTCTTTCTGATGTATTGCGTGCCAGCACATGGGACAGGCAGGCACTAATGTAATTCCTTGCGAGTGGTGCTCATCTCATCTGGGCTCCAGCTTTGAACTTGTGGCTCGGCGGCTTTTCAGAACGAGACAGAAAATGGGGACAGAGGGAGAGAATTGTCCGGCACTGATTCGCTGTAAAAAACTCGGACAGAAGATCATTTCAGCGCCGCTTGGGAAGATCAAAAGCTTAGCTGGCAGAGAGCGAGTGCGAGGGGAGATGGTATCGCCGGGCTCTCATTTCATTCACAGACGAGTGTGAAATGACTTCATCTGTTGTGTGGACTCACACTAGACACCATTATACACTACTGTATCCTGACCCTCCCTTCCTCTCTCACTGCTGGCAGCTACAGGCCAAAAACTGCTGCAGCATTGTCCTAATAACATATCTGTTAGGTATTGCTTTGTGTATCTATTAGACACGCTGGCAGCTTTTACCTACATTGACAAAACATTAAAAAGGCAGATTCTTTAGCACTAATTGCATTGTAAGAATCTCTTACATAACACCAGCTGGATTCAATGTTAATTGCTTTTTTTTTTTTTTACATTAGCAGAAGATCCCAGCACTTAAAAACACTAAAGGGGAAAATATAAGAATGATAAAAAGAGAAGATCAAACCTCAAGTCCAGGCCCACAGTAGTTTCAGGCCTGGCAGTGCACATCATTAACACTCTGCCTCCTGCACTTAAGAAAGGAGGAAGGGGGGCAGCAATTTGCTCAAACTTCTGAGCCTTAAACACTTGAATAATTTACCACTGAAAGTTATAAATCTGCTTGATTATGGCGACAACAAACGGGTTGAACACAGCTGTTTCTCTTTCTTTCTCTCGGCATCGCTGCTAATGGAGATTGCAGCGTACTTTGCAGGCAGTGTGGAGAGGAAATATAGAAGAAAGCATCATGAGATCATAAGAGTCGACTTAACTCAAGGATTTTACCACCTCTTTCTTCTTCTCCCTTCATCCCTTGTCTTCATTTCCTCCTTCATTAAATGAGGAGTCCGACGCAGAGCCGGACTGTAATGCTGTGCGTCGGCTGTGAGAGCTTTCCTTCCTGTTCTGCTCTCCCTCCTCCAGTCTTCCTCCTCTTCTCTCCCTTGAACACCCTGTTTAGCTGTTTAAGCTGATGACACAGAGAATATTGCATGTTGAAAGGCCTTTTCACCACACACACACAACACACACACACACACACACACACACACACATCACACACACAAACACACACACACACACACAACACAACACACTGACTTAACTCACACATGCACACACTCTTGCCCAGAGCGAAAGGCCCCAGGCAGTCTTTTTCCCGTTAGCCAGGGGCGATCATTCTGCCTCTATGATACTTTAACTGTGGGATGTCAGGAAACATTAGGCCTTTAAAAACACAGCTACGTTGCAGTGCAGACACTGACAACACACGCAGACATACACACACATACTCAACTGTAGTCCTATCCATTCCTCCAAGGTCAGAACACTTTCTGCAATCTTCCTGTGCAGATTTTGAGATAAATAATTTAGTCCTTGTGTGTTTTTTTTGTTTTAATCACCTTTTCCAAACAAACAATCAGAACTTAAAATGCATAAAAATAATGATGTTACACCATCCTAACTGCTTGCAGGTCATTGCTGACCGGTTTTTCTTTTTACTACAACCTTCGGATGCACTCTACGTGACACAACTTCATTGTAAGACTTGAATCAGAAGAGGGTTTTTTTTCTTTAGAATTGATTGCTTTAAAACCACATTAAGATTTTCTCTACCTGCAGGTGTGCATTTCGTCTTAGCTGTGGCTGTTGCAACCACAAAAACTAAACCACAAACAGATGTAAAGAGAAATAACCTTGATAAGACTGTCCTCCTAAGAGGAATGACAGCTGTAGCACTTTCAGCAAATGTCCCAGGTGAATATAGAGTCACAAAGTCTGTAGGGAGTTAGGGGCTGTTTTCATTCACAGGGTGTAAAATACTGCTGCTTTGTTAAAGCTTCTGGTGTCTCATGACGTCCCACCTTCTGCATTTCAATTCAATTCAATTCAATTTTATTTATATAGCGCCAAATCACAACAAAAGTCGCCTCAAGGCGCTTCATAGATACAGAGAAAACCCCAACAATCATATGACCCCCTATGAGCAAGCACTTTGGCAACAGTGGGAAGGAAAAACTCCCTTTTAACAGGAAGAAACCTCCAGCAGAACCAGGCTCAGGGAGGGGCGGCCATCTGCTGCGACCGGTTGGGGTGATGTACGGTACTGGTTGTGGTATATTCATATATGGATGCTTTATATCATATTTAAATGTACTTGGAACCCTTTAGTGCCATTTTTCAGTGTGCAGAGTTGAGGATGCTTGTTAATGGTTTCAGTGATTTAAAACAAAGTGCAAAACACAAAACTCTCACGCAGGAGCCAAACTGCAGTCTCTCAGTTGACAGTCTAGTGGTTTAGACCATCACCCTCGCATAGGGTGACCAGATGTCCCTCTTTATGTGGGACTGCACTACATCTTTGTTCCTTGTCCCCGAGTCTCACATCTTGAGACAATGTCTTACATTTTGACTAGTTCTGCATGACATGCTCTTTTCTAAAGTCTGGAGTTTATCCAGTGTATGAAAAGGGAAGTCTTT